CTGCGCGGCCCTGGGTAACCCGGGCGACGACCGAGCCGGTATAATTTTCGAAGGCGTCAATACCATGAGTAACAGGTGGCTGAATTTTACGGAGAGTTGCCACGGTCTCCAACCCTCCTCGTTTCTCATCCGGGCTTGGGACCGACAATGGCGGAGTTACCTGTGGCTACTCCATTTTCAAAATTCAGTTCATCCTGTTCCTTCAAGTTCCTTCAAGTTGTGATATAAATTTGCTTGTTCATCTTTCACGCCACGACTGTTTCGTTATTTTCTGTACTTTTAATATTGAATTGTATACTCTATCGTTGTTTTGTACAAAATTTTCCCGATGATGGCGTCTGTGGCGGAAACCGAAACGTCGAAATAAAATAAGGGTGTACTTTACATCACGCCGAAAGCTATTTACATTGAGAAAATGTTAATAGATCTGTAATCTTGATGTGCATTAAAAAATGGCATTCAGAACATTTTATTGTTTAGTCAGTGTTAACGCGGTGACGGGATAGCTGTGTTACCGGAATGAACTGAAGTTGATTGGCTGTTCAGTCCAAAACGGTAAATTTACGCTCTTTTTTGGCTAGTTTTTACAGTTGGAACGTGCAACGCTTGACCTGTATATCAAATTATCAGGTATCAGAAATTTGAACAGGAGCTGATAAGATTGTTTGCGAGATTGTTGGTGCCAACGTCAAGCGTTTATCTTGGATGCCAGCAGTGACACGTTTTGATATGAATGAATGTTATGGATTATTATAATAGTACTAAATTGTAAGGTTTAAGTATTAGTCCAGTAGTTTGCTAAGCTTTTGCTCAGATTGTTTTTGACGAAATGTTCGTTTTCGTAATAAGCTGCATCGTTTACCACATTTATGAGATTTTGTAAAACGCCAAAAGCAGTTCATCACTTTCATGTACAGAGAGCTTCTCAAGCGATAGAATGCAGTGAGCGATATTGAGGACCATCGGTAGCACTGTTGCAAAGCAGGGACCGAATTGTTCGTCAATGATGGGTCGCTGGCTGCAAGCGCATTGCGTCTAATGATAGGAGTGTTTCACTATTCGGATAAACGGCTGCTCGGAACCGCTCTAAAAGTCTTCCTGCACTTATTTTCACGCATATTGCCAACTCGAGTGAAAGTATGAAAATACTAACGGCTAAATGCGTCATAACCTTCTTCCTTACAGAATAGAGCCATATAATGTTTGACTTTGTTACATATGTTGCAAAACCCTTTTCTAGCCATATTCACCACAGGTGTTAGGGTTAGGGTCAACGTCCGGTTTTACAACTCGCAGGATGACTGGGTCGTAATGCGTCACTGTCATTTTCTGATGATTTTATAGTATTACTAATACTCTGTTGCAGGCGCCTAACTCAAACAAACCTCTTACTGCAGAGGACCCGAGCAAACGCTGTTGTTTGTAGCTTTGTTTGCAGCTTTATTCTGAAGTAGTCCAGCAAGATATGGACCGAAACGTCGCTCTCGGTCAATCATCTGATCGTCTGACCATTGTGTTGCGAATTGACTGACTTTTTTTCAGTTTCAAGGAATACAACATTACAATTTAGAATTTCAGAGAAATCTGATGTGGCTTAATTTAGTGCACTGAGACTTGGCCATAATTGACAGAAGAGTTGCTAGTATTCCGTCAGTGTGAGGCACTGACACCGGACGGTGTGTCAGCTGACTGTGTCACGTCAACCATTACTGAAGTGCTCGAAAACTGCTTGTCGCTACTTTCTTGGCATTTTTGTCTTGTGCAGACTTGGTCGCCTCATAAGTTACTGATTTGTTTTGCATGGACTTTGTGCTCCGAATTTTGTCTGCTACCATTGAGTTTTATCGATTTATTTGCATTGTTGACAATTTTTCAGGAAGTTTATCTGTGCATTGCTTGCCTTTTGAATCTTATTTCCTTCTTCACATTTTATGATTCTTGTATGTTTTAAGCCTTCCTTGTAAAGAGGCTTTACAGTAAATATGGATGATGATATCTATTGTAAAAATTTCGCTTAGAACGTAGAACTTTCAGAAGGTCGTATCGCAACTTACACGTGCTGCATGAAAGTTTCTTTCGTTCACTCACTATTTGCTTTAATAATGCTACGGAACCTAGCCGCAATCGGAAGAGTAAACGTGAAATTTATCTGACGTTCATTAAGTTATAAAACTTTAGTGGCAGCACAACTACGGCTCACGAAGATCGACGCAACGACGACTTTTGTTTGTATGTACGATGTCATATTTTGTCCTTGATTCTGTGTTTGTACTTCCGTCTATGAATCTGAATCTTGTATTTAGTTGTGATAGTGATTGTGATGAACAGATTTTGATTGATAGGATTTGTTGTTTCATGAAATTTTTCACATTAACCGATTCGCTTTTCTAAGCACGAAGTAAAAGTTTCATCTTCATTGACAGCTTCGATTCATTCGCTCTATTATATTTATGTTATTTCTCTCTTGGAATGCCGCCTTGATATGTTCAAAGAACATTTTTATGTTAGCGTTTATGTTATACTGATTGTGTTCTGGGAAAAATCATGAAAATTTGCTGCTAACAGTCTTTCACGTCAGATCGACTAATTGGTAGAGATCATTAAGGTCCCTAGATTTATCATTATTAAATCACCTCAAGATCATATCAAACAAAAAAATATGGCAGAAATTTAGGAAAAAAGTTTGTTATGAGGATGCTGCATTTCACTGCTCTTTCTGATGTTCTTTCATGGCAGTCAGTCAAGCTGTCACTAAGCCGACTAGTGCAGCTGCTGTCTATTTACGGTCATAAAAGAAAGCTTAAATATGACTTCAAGACGTCTCAGATGGTACAGGTTAAATCAAAGAGTAATTTTTGTGATGCGTGGCCAGTTGACGCCAAGTATGGGCTGATGGATGGATTTCTTGAACCTTCTGACTTCCGCAGTCCGCGAGGGGAGGGAAGAATCAGACGCTCCAGGAGATGAAAAGATGAGATATAATTTAAATTTACCTTCATCTACGTCAGTTGCGCTCGTGGTTGACATTAAGGCTGTTAGAAAAGTAGCAGTGGTTCAAAGAAGTGGACAGAAGAGTTGCAGCATGCCATAAAGCAGGCAAAACGGAAAAGCGCATTTAGCGAAGATGGCGTTACAGTGCAACTCGTGAAAACAGGTAGTGAAGCTCTGACCAACGTACTGACGCATGTTTTCACGTTGTCTGATAGAAGTAAAAACTGCATGGCATTGGACAATCGCATCAGTAAACAAGATGAACAGAAGAATCAACTATGCAAAGAAAGGTGCATGAAAAACATTTGAAGAACTACTGTTTAATCCGTTTGTTGCCAATAATCCACAAGCACTTCACGAATGTAGTGACGAACAGATTTCCAAAAAAACTAGATTCTGCGCAGTCAAAGGAGAGTTGGATTCGGAGGTAAATTTAGTGAGGCAGATAGTCTCGAGGTGGCATAGGTGGTACAAGAAAACAACGAATTTCGGTCATATATTCGCCTGGGATTGTCGACGTCGTGAAAGATTTCGACTCATGTGATTTGTACTGGATGACAGTGACATCAAACCATTGTTCAGTGGCGCATTCTTGAACGAGTCGAGCTAATACGTCTGTACATCCACTGCTGCACTAAGTCCCAATTCGATGTTTTCTGACCAAGCCGGTCGGCTTGGGAAGCAGTTATGCGATTCGATGTTTCGTTCCTATGTTCATTCTATAAATACCGAATATAACAATGGCGCTCGTTGCAAAGCTATATGAAAAGCGGTCCAATCCCACGAAGAACACCTCGATTATGCTAAGAATCGGAAGATGATCGTTTTCTGCAAGAACAACATTATGAAAAACAAGATTCACGAAAATTGGTAGATCTTAAGACATGTGGAGCAGCCATCCGGTTACCAGAGGGAATAACGGGCATTGCCAATCAACTACAATGTAATCTGTATGGATGATGATATCGATTCGTCTCCTGTCAGAATGACAAATATATGCCATTTTGTTGATTAATTCCTCTACTTTCCTTTCTACCCTGCACGTTTTCATCATCAGAATAAAGTTGTGAGAAAGCTACTCAGACATTTGAGTTAGACGATCTGTTGTTTCATTACTTCTGTAAACAGATTTCGAAGATGGCATTCCAGCTAAAATTAAACGAGCTCCTACGTTCATTACAGTTTCCTTATCAAGAC